AATTGGGGGGATTGAGCCTGAAATTGGGGGGGTTTAATCCTAAAATTGGGGGGATTGAGCCCCAAAAATTGGGGGGATTTAATCCTGAAATTGGGGGGATTGAGCCCAAAAATGGGGGGAATTTTGGGGTTTTTGGGTACACCAAGTTTATTTTGGGGTGAATTTGGGGGTTTTTGGGTACACCAAGTTTATTTTGGGGTGACTGGGGTTTTTAGGTACACCAATGGGATTTTGGGGAGAGTTTTGGGGTTTTTGAGTACACCAAGTTTATTTTGGGGTGAATTTGGGGGTTTTTGGGTACACCAAGTTTATTTTGGTGTGAATTCTGGGGTTTTTGGGTACACCGAGTTTATTTTGGGGTGACTTTGGGGTTTTTAGGTACACCAATGAGATTTTTGGGGTGAATTCGGGGGGTTTTTGGGTACACCAAGTTTATTTTGGGGTGAATTTGGGGGTTTTTAGGTACACCAATGGGATTTTGGGGAGAGTTTTGGGGTTTTTGAGTACACCAAGTTTATTTTGGGGTGAATTTGGGGGTTTTTGGGTACACCAAGTTTATTTTGGTGTGAATTCTGGGGTTTTTGGGTACACCGAGTTTATTTTGGGGTGACTTTGGGGTTTTTAGGTACACCAATGAGATTTTTGGGGTGAATTCTGGGGGTTTTTGGGTACACCAAGTTTATTTTGGGGTGAATTTGGGGGTTTTTAGGTACACCAATGGGATTTTGGGGTGAATTATGGAGATTTTGGGTACACCAAGTTTATTTTGGGCTGAATTTTGGGGGTTTTTAGGTACACCAATGGGATTTTTGGGTGAATTCTGGGGTTTTTAGGTACACCAATGGGATTTTGGGGTGAATTCTGGGGTTTTTAGGTACACCAATGGGATTTTGGGGTGAATTCTGGGGTTTTTGGGTACACCAATGGGATTTTGGGGTGAATTCTGGGGGTTTTGGGTACACCGAGTTCATTTTGGGGTGAATTCGGGGGTTTTTGGGTCCACAGGAGCTGGAATCACCCATGGGCTCCCAGTTTGGGCCGGCAGCGCCGGTGACCATCGAGGTCCCCCTGGGCGCCCTCAGCCCCGGGGCGCTGCTGGGCGGGGCCGGCGCCCTGACCACGCCCCTCACCACCATCGACCAATCGGAGCTCAGCTCCCAGCTGGGGCTGGGCTTGGGCGGGGCCGCGGCCACGCCCCCCGGCCCCGCCCCGGGCCCCGCCCCGGCCCCGCCCAGCCCCGAGCGGGGGCTGTCCCCGGCGCCCTCCCCCGCGGGGTCCCTGCAGGACGAGGAGCTGGAGGATTTCCGCAGGGTGAGCGCCCCAAAACGCCCCAAAAACCCCCAAATTCCCCCCAAAATCCCCAAGTTCCGCTCAGTTCCCGCTTTCAATCGTTCAATTTTTGCGATTTCCGCTCATTCCGGGTTTTGTTCCTCTGGTTTTTTATTCGCTTTTTATTTATTTCGTTCTTGCTTAATTTTTATTGATTGAATTCTTTATCGTTTAATTTTCTCTTCAAAACTCGTGGCTTTTCCTCTTTTCCCTCCAAAATTTAATTTTTTTTCTGTTCTACCCCCGAAACCTGTCATTTTCCCCCCAAAACTTGTAATTTTTCCTATTTTCCCCTAAAACTTGTCATTTTTCCCCATTTCCCCCAAAAAACTTGTAAATTTTTCCGTTTTCCCCCTAAAACTTGTCATTTTTCCCCCCAAAACTCACCGTTTTTCCCCATTTTCTCCCCCAAAACTTGTAAATTTTCACATTTTTCCCCCAAAGCTCACCATTTTCCCCCAAAACTCATGGCTTTTCCCAGTTTCCCCCCAAACCTCATCATTTTTCCCAAAACTTGTAAGTTTTTCCCAGAACGTGTAAATTTCCCCAAAACTCACCATTTTTCTCTGTTTTTCCCCCAAAACTCACCATTTTCTCCCTCCAAAACTTGTAAATTTCCCCAAAACTTCTAATTTTTTGTAAAACTTGTAAGTTTCTCCCCAAAACTTGTAAATTTTTCCTAAAACTCGTAGATTTTCCCAAAACTTGTCAATTCCTTCCCAAAACTTGTCAATTTCTTCCCAAAGCTTGTCAGTTTTTCCCCAAAACTCATCAATTTCCCCAAAACTCATCAATTTCCCCAAAACTTGTCAATTTCTTCCCAAAACTCATCAATTTCTCCCCAAAACTCGTCAATTTCCCCAAAACTCATCAATTTCCCCAAAACTTGTCAATTTCTTCCCAAAACTTGTCAATCTCTCCCCAAAACTCATCAATTTCCCCAAAACTCATCAATTTCCCCAAAACTCATCAATTTCCCCAAAACTCACCATTTTTTCCACACCTCCCCCATCCCCCCCCCCCTCGTCAATTTC